AATTGTATTAATATTATGTAAGCTTGAGATGTATTTTCCACCGACATTCTTTAATATTATGATCCATCCAACTGTTCACTTAGTTAAGGAGGTTCAAAGTGTGGACCTGCTTATTTAAGATGGATGTATCCTATTGAGCGTTATATAAGATTTTAAAAGGCTATGTGAAAAATGAGAGTTGACTGAAGGGTTGCATTATTGAACGGTATATTTATGAAAAGGTCGTTGACTTTTGTACTGAGTACTAGAGTCATATTAGCTATGTTGGGCTTCCAAAGTCTCGACATATGAGTAGAATAAGTGGAGAGGGATCATAATGAAAACAAAGTCATTACTATCTCAAGTGTATAATGGGAGCAAGCTCACCTATATGTGTTGCATAACACTGAAGAGGTTGAAGAGTATGTAGACAAGTATATGGTTGAACTTAGGAGGGATAATCTCAATAGATTAGAAATTTGGTCATGCCAAGGAACACAATAAAACTTTTACAAGATGGTTAAGGAGCACATTCTTTAAATGTTAAATGTTGATTCCAATTAAGTTTCTAAAAAATTGAGATGATTAGTTAACGGTCCAAGCAGATAAGCCATTTCTTACACTGCTCACCTTGTCAATGGATACATTTTATATAAGGGAGCAAGATGATAGAAGTGTAATGCAAAATAGTGGTGTAACTCTTGCAGCTCATTCCATGCATATTTCCAACACTAAGGATAAAAATCCTATTTATGCAAACATGTCATACTTTGGTATAATTAAGCATATATGGGATTTAGATTACATATCCTTTCGAGTTTCAGTTTTTAGGTGTAAGTAGATTGATTAAAAAAAATAGCTTGAAATTTGATTATCAATTTGGATTTCTACAAGTCAATTTGAACAAGGAAAAGTATAAAGATGAGCTTTTCATTTTGGCACAAAAGCCAAATAAGTGTTTTATGTCCTAATAAGGGATGGTCTATTCTTATGTTACATGAAAAAATAAATGAAAATGTAGTAGTTGAAGATGATCCATTTGAAGGGACATCAAATCAAAGTAACGACACTGTTGATGAAGCTCTATACATGAGAAATGATCACAATGAAACATTTTGATTTCAAAGAGGGGTAAATTATTTCAGCATAAGAAAAAAAATATTTCAAAGAGAGGGAAATAAAAAACCAGTGTCAAGGAAACGAAAAAGAGCGACTTGAATTTGTAACCTTTGCATTAATTGTGCAATTTTTTTCATGTTTGAATTAATATAGTTGATTAATATTTGAATTAATTATGCCATTTTTGTTTCATATTTGAATTAATACAGTTGATTAATGTTTGAATTAATTATGATTGATTAATTTTTTGAATTAATCATGATTGATTAATTTTTGAATTTATTGTGTTATAGATAAATGGCTTTAGATTCTGAGTCCACTGAAATCCCTCCATCAGATCCCACTACAACTTCTACTAATGCTCTGTCATTAAAAAAAATTGGATAGGAGTAGGAATATAACAATATCCAACGGGGCCTGACAATATATAGAAGAAGTCATAAAAATAAGAGTTGCAGGGAAAAAAATAGCAGTACAGTGGAACAAGAAAGGGCAAGCCATCATATCTATAAAGTTTATAAGTTATATTAGGGTTATGGCAAAGATAATTGTACTTATCACATAGAAATCATGGCGCAAAGTTGATCAAGCCACGAAGGATATTGTTTGGGAGACCGTATCTGTAATTGCATTTTACTAAGTTATATTCTATTTAATATTTTAAACTTAACATATTTATTTTATTTTATAGTCAGGATTTGAAATAGATGAGAGTAAGAAGGATTTTGTCCTTTAAAAGGCTAGGAAGGCATTACGGTCTTTCAGACATTTTATCACACAAAAAGATTTGAAAGACCCTGATGCTGAATTTATAGCCCAAGTTCCTCCCCTGTTACAGTCTTTAGTAAAGTAGGAATATTGGGATGCTTTTATTGCCTCTCAACACGAGAAGGAATTTAAGGTATTTGTATTTCTAAAATTTAAATTTTGGTGCCTTTTATTGAATGTATATATGTGTACTAATAGGATATTTTTGTTATTGATTAAAGGAACTGAACGCCCAAAATAAGGAGAGAGTGGCCAAAAATGAATACCCTTACAGAGCAGGAGTTGAGGTATACAAGCGTAGAGAGCATAAAGAAGTAGAGGCCAAGGGATTGGATGTTACCATATCCCGCCAAAGACTCTAGGCATTAGCATGAACAAATTAAGATAGAGTGATTGACAACCCTCATGTGAAAGAAGTGTTAAAAAAATTGTAAGTGTTATTTTTATCTATTAATTAATAAATGAGTATAAAAATGCATACTAATCAGCTCTATTTTTCATAGGACTCCCTTTCTCAGAAAGTCTCACAAGGCAAGCTTTCTGAGCATGAGAATATCTTAGCTAGAGCATGAGAGGACCCTTGACCACCTTGGTCATGTCAAGGGTATCGGCTTCGGTGTCATGAAGATGTAATACTTTGGCATGATTAAGAAGCAAACATCAACTTCTTCATCCGAGGTTCAAGAGTTGAGAAAAGAGCAAGCTGTTATGAAGCAGCAGCTAAAAGCCCAAGAAAAGTTAATTGACATGCTAATGAAGGGTCAAATCCTTAGGAGGCTAACGTTAGCCCTAGCGGGAAAGATAGCTACACAGTCCCTTCAGACAAAAAAACCTAAGGTAATACATTTTATCTTCTAAATTTGCTTAACTAATTTTTTGTCTAAAAAACTGGCGTTGTTTATTATTTAGGGCAAGAATGACTGTAACTATTTAGCAGATGATCCTTCACACAAAGTAGTTGCAATGAGATGTGTGTACAACATTGTCAGGGACACAATCTATAACCTTCCCCTCCCGCCTGATTGCATTAGGGTTTCCTTACTTGTTGCAATCGACCCCAAGTATCCATTACCTTATCCTACCAATGAAATGCAGACGATGAGATGTGTTGAGGAGCTTCATTGCATGGCCTAACCACCTTGTTATGGTGGGTATATCAAAGTTGATAAAGGACCCAAAGCCACTAAAAGATCCATTGCCAGCAAAGAACAAGGTATATATGATTTAAATAATTATATAGAATCTTTTACACATATATATATTATATATATAGTCTAACTTTTTCATTGTATAGCTAATGGGGAAGAAAATTGAAGGGCAAGGTGTCGGGCCATACCAAAGAATCAGCCATGATTTTGCAAACATCCAATGCCCATGCCTATTATAGAAAACAAATTCTATGATTCTCTTGAGACTTATGCTTTGGCTACAAGGATGATTCATCAAGTGCCGATGGGTATATCATTAATTTTGACGATGGCTATTTGTAAAGTATCATTTGAAGTTGTTTAGGGTGAAATTTTAAATCAAAATCCTCAAGCACAATATGGCGAGCACTAGTTTGATGACTTTCTACATGAGGTAATTCTTCAATATTTATTAGTTAATTACTTGAATTATTTATGTGTGTCTATGTAAGCATATTAACTTATATATTTTTTTTCACCCAAGCCACCTTTATACCTCATTCATGATTCTTGATGGCCTCAAGTTGAAGATTAAACTAGTTAATCCTCATAAAGTCTCTCCCCACAATAATATACAAAAGAAGCTCTTAAAAATCAAGCAAGAATGCTTTTCAAATCAATTCCGGGAACGGAGGAGGACAGAAGGAGGATACTTTATTTCTCGCTCCTACTTACTGTTAAGGGTGAGTGTTAACACTTGTACGAGCGAGCAAATTTTTTTTATATTTACTTGTTTGGTAACACGTGTTATTTCTTTTAAGGGACACTGGATGCTTATTATGGTTAATCCCACTGCTCCAAAATATGGGTATCTCGATTTCCTTAATGGAGGAGAGCCAAGCAGCAGGGAAGATAAGATAATTTTAACAAGTTGGATTTTTTCACTTATTATTTCTTATTATTTTTAGTTTCCATTATATATATTTTTCATATTCATTCCATAATTCCTTCTTAGAGCTGTGGTATTGTATCACATTACGGACCGACAAGACTGTGTCCCTTAAGATGAGGGCATTTGAATCTTCAGAGAAATGGATCACTATTA